AATTTCAAGAATATATTAAGTTATTATCAACTTTAAATTGTGATGTAATTTTTATTAATTAGGTAAAAATAAATTAACGGTCTATAAAATGTCAATGTGGTGATCGATCTCGTTTGTAACCAAATCTATCATAATAAATGAAGATCGTTTTGCCAAATGTCATCTTCTCATTAAATTTGCCACATGTAATTTTGTAAATCTTTTGATTAAATTTAAATCCACATGTCATTTTGTGGTTTTTTTGAATTAAATCAATTAATATGCCACATAATACTAAATTTATATATGTAAAGTATTAAATACATTTAATGTGATAATAAATGCAAAGAATCGTAAAAGATATATTATATATATTAAAATACATTGATATATATATTTTTTTTAATCAATCCGTGTAATACACGAGTTTTACACCTAGTGTGTAACAAAGGAAAATAAGCATTTGATCAATAACTTATCACAACTAATTAACGGTTATAGAATCACTGTATAATCCAAGTGAAGAGATGATAAACTCATGGAACTGTTGGTGATTTTATCACCAAATATATTTTAGTGTAATGGATTTAATAAATGTTTCAAGAATAATGTTTTAGTTATAATACAAGTTAGGAGGTGTGGGAGTACAAGGACTAATTTGTCATTCTTGAAAAATGCAAATTCAAGGACTAATCTGCCTTTTCTGAAAGATGAAAACCGTTCTTGTTTATCCGTTGAGTGGATAAATCCGGGAAAAATAACGATTCCTTTGAAACACATAAAAACTGGAAATGCTTTCTTCTTCATCTTCTTCTCAAAATTGATTCTGATTTTGTGCTTAAAATCAGAATTGTTACATCAGGAATTATCTCAGTTTGGATTTCGGGATATCCAAAACATACAGGGTCGAAATATCAAACAAGAAAAGTGTTAACATGATTCCTGTTTGTGATCCAAATTTCCAATAACCCTATTTCGTTTTTCCCCAACAGAAACAAATTACATAATTCAGACAGAAAAGTTGTGATCAATAAAAATAAGGCAATAAGTCTAAGGCCAAGCATGGATGAATTTGAGCTATAGCTTTATTGTTAATGAATTTATGGAGCTATAAAAGTGGACGGGATTTAGGATCATAATGATGATTATATAGAGACCAACAATAATATGTTGGTCTCAACTACATGTTGAACGACCTCAAATGGTTAATTACTGTTGTTTAGCTTCGATATGTTAATATGTAAACAAATATCAATAGAAACTTGTATATGATTAAAATAAATGTGATTTGGTATTAAAATCATCATAAACAAACCAACATGTGATGATTTAAAATTGAGTATTGAATATTTATATAGGTGAATGAGCCGATGTTATATCAAGTACATACCATATAAGTATCATATCTAAAAAAAATTAGTGGATAAACCGATCAACAAGTTAACAAATGTCAAGTAACTTGAGTGAATTTTTTATGTAAATACGATAGACTAGACAAACAAAATAAATATGCTATTAGTTTCTCATCTTAACCCTTAATGATGAGTCAAATAGAAGTCATCGTAGACCATATGGCCTTTGGCTTAGTATCAAGAGTTAAAATAATATACATAAATTTAGGAGTGGAATAGTAGTTTCATATATAAGTTGTTATGATTAAAAAATAAAAGTCAAGTAGATGACGTTACTAAAACTTGTTGGTTAAATCCGTTATGGGCGGGCGACCAAGTGCCTAGTAAAATATCTTTTTAAGAACAACTAGGAAGGTTTCCCCGCTCGTTGTGCGGGATAGAAGCTGTTGTTTTTCTGTTGATACTCATGTGTCGTAGCGTGCTACTTTCATTTAATTTCCTATAAAAGCACTATACTTTAAAAAAACTAACTAATTAAAGTTAACACACGGGACAAAAAGTGTTACCATATGTGATTTTAGGGGCAAAATGGTCATGTTACATGAACCACTATAGGGAAAAATGTGAACAAGTGTCATTTCAAGGCAAGATGGTTATTTTACATCAACTTAACACCTATAGTCAATTTTGAATCTTATTCACTCTTCTTTAGCTTTTCTTTTTGCAATTTCCTTCGTTTTCTCCACCTACAAACAAATTTCCCCAACTTAAATTATGTGGAAACTTAGAAATATTCTTTTCTTCCGTCTAAATTTTATTTAGATACATAAATCCATGTCAATAAAACACGACTAATTGTTCAATATTTGAGAAAAACATATATAGCAAATTAGGTCTTGTAATGGTCGTGTTTCTTGCTAGACATTAATAAGATTATGTATTAGGTAGAGTCAACAATTATAACCTATTTGATATAATAAAGAAAAATTATATGAATATTATGTGTTTCATGATTATTATAATATTATAAAATAGAAAAAACTCAGCTGAATCACTCGTGAATCGTAAAAATAAGTACGTCAAAACACACACACATACATACACATATATGTGTGTGTGTATGTGTTGGTAATGTCTCATTGTGTCAAAGTGATAATATTTGACCTATTTACATACTTGATTTTGAAAGTATGATGTTATGACAAGCATTTAAGGAACATATGTTGCTATTTCGAGCATTTAATTGCTATCTATATTGTTTTTATAACCTTTCCATTTATTTATTTTTCTATATTTGTTCATGTGTGTGACAAATTGCAGTTTATTTGTTTTTTATATTATTTTCCCATATCATGTTTCATTTTACAGATCTTAGATTGATTTTTTGAACTCCATCTTTAGTTTCATCATTTGATGTTTATATAATAAGTACCACTATGTTTATATCGTCCAGGCCCAAAATAACATTATATGTAGCCTGTCTACCCATTCAAAAAATGACATTACCAACTTCTTTGCTACTTATGGGATTTGCATGTATTGTTTATATGAAGATCTAAGGATTTTAGCCTTTTAGGTTAAATTTGATTGTCCACAGGGTAGCCTTTTAGGTTAAACAAAGAAACATCCAAAACTACAAACTTACCATTGTTTAACCTAATAGATATTTAATTCACATAAAAAAATGTTTAAACCTGAGTCTTTTGTTTCAACACATTGTTGGCAGAAATTAAACCTGAGAAATAGGATAACCAAGATCAAAACCCCATTAATCTACATCAGTGTAGGCTGAACGCTAACCATCTACATATGACACGAAATGGCTTAAAAGATTAAAGAGTAAATACAAGACATTTACAACAAAGTAAAACTATCAATTTAACTGAGGCATTCCATCAAACACCTTGAGTGTAATCTAACAATCATCGACTCTCACATAAACAATAATGATTCAGATAAGAATTTACAGTGTTCACAACATCCCATCGATCAAATCCATAGACAAAAGTTGAGAGAATGTTCGTACCTTAGGTTTAAGAAGAAAGGCGATGATTTTACTATCTTTAGACTATTATTTGGTCGATTTCACTATTTTGAGTCCGATTCCACTCTCTTTAGCCACCATCGTTCCATCAATGTGTTGTGTCTTTGTAGCAGAAGTAAGAAATGGTGAGTATGGCGTATATATAACCGACATTTAGGGTTTTTAGAGGCTAAGAGGGTCGATGTCTTGCTAAGATTTTAGTATTTCAAAATCAATTTAATTTTGGAAGGGACCGGATATCAATGAGATTATGAAATCGAATTTGTTAAACCAGAACTACTACATTCAGAGAAAGAGATGAAGAAATTGACCTGTGAAACCAAAACAAAAAATCTTCATCCAGGTGGTGGCTGATGGATCTAGGTTACGTAGAAGAAAAGACTGTAGGTTAAATGAGCCCCAAATCACTATAGATTTTATGGGATTACATCCCTGATTTCTTGAATTTGGGGGCTGATTTATCGGTTAGTAAGTCTTAATTGTTTCAAACGCTAGAGCGAGAATGAAGCGAATGGGGTATTAAGAGGTAGAAAAGGGTATTTTTGGAACTTCACATACAAACATTGAGCGGGAAATTTCGTTGGGGAAGGGTTCAACAACTACCACGTGCACATTGGGGTACTGTTTTATTAGAAGAGAAGATTATTAGCACATGTTAAAAAAAAATCGACGATCATATTCATTTCATGTAAAACACAACTTTTGGTACCTTGAAACAAACCTAAAAAGACTTTATTTATTTACATCTTTTCTCGATTCTTTAAATTTTCATTTATATTTTTTTCTTATCCATCAAGCCAATGAGTCATGATCACATATTTGCAATGTTTTAAAAACATGTTTGAACCAGTTGGATCGGGAATCGGGGAGGGAGCGGTTCAACTATCACAAGTTTTTACATTGATTTCTGAACCGGATTGAACCAGCCGGTATTTAGAAAAATTCGGTTGAACCAGTCAAAATAAACCGGTTAAACCGAATAAAATCACATGAAAAAGAACAATTTACATAATAAACTTTGGTGATTATTTTTTCATATCTATTTAGTTTTCTCTAAATAAAAATATATGGTAAATGTTATAAAGTTTTTTTTTGATGTGTTTGTATTCATTTAAAACCATATTTCGTTACGGTATTATACTTTATTTTTTTTTTTGAAGTATATGGATTGATGTAAAACACTAAAACTTATGGTTATGTGTTATTTTAATATATTTGGATTCATCTACAACTTATTTTTATGTGTATTTTTAATGTTTGAATTTGTAAACATCAAATTTATGGTTTATATATGTATGTAGGAAAATAGGAAAAAACATGAAAACTATAGAAATCCGTTGATCCGGCGGTCGAACCAATTAAATCGAAAACCGATCACCATACCGGTTGAACTAAAAAACCAATTTTTAAAACATTGCATATTTGTGTTTATGTTCTTTTATTATTAAGATAAAACAAACATAACAAATAAACACATAAACAGAAGTAATATAATTAAAATTGGAATTTCAGAAATGGGCTACAAGAATATAATCCAATGGCCCAATTTCCGCAACCAAAGTCAGACAAAGCCCTAAAGAGCCCGGTCCTTTTGTTTTAATTTCCTGTTATTACTCGCTTTCTTCACAGCTGCAAATCTGCAAGTCTGAAACAATGGCGAACTACACTCTGCTTTGTCGCATTGCCAAATGTGGAACCCGTTCGTTTCTCTTTCTTCATGCTACCGGAGGCTGCTTTACTACAATTAGCACTAAAACACTGCTAAAACCTCTTTTTCAAGGTACCTTCTATTTCTATTTCTCTCCATCACAGTTGCAAAACGTATGTCAGCTTGATTATTCGGTTCCCTCAAGGATCATTTTTTTATCAGCTTCGTCAATTTAAGCTGATTTGTTGGATTGTAATTTTTATCTTGGAATAAAAGTGAAAATAGATTATAAGATTGCGGATTCGACCTCTTTTATGTCTTCTAAGAGAGTGGTTAGGGTTAGTTTATAACAAAATGACCACCATTATGGTTCAAAGCGTCGATCACTCTCAAAACTCATCAAAATTTGAAACTGTTATATGTATTTCAAACAATATGCATATCTCTTCTGCAGCAACAAGAACATTCGCAAGTGATACCAACTTTGTTTCCCTTTTTGATAAAATGACTGTGGGTAATCAGAGGAAGTACTACATGTTGGGTGGGAAAGGAGGTGTTGGAAAGACAAGTTGCGCCGCATCTCTTGCCGTAAAGTTTGCAAATCACGGCCATCCCACCATTGTAGTTTCTACAGACCCTGCTCACTCTTTAAGTGACTCCTTCGATCAAGTATCCACTTGGATACACCTCCTCCAGGTTTAGATGAAGCTATTGCAATATTAAAGGTGAGTACTTTTTGCAACTTCTTGATAATACATATCAAGAATGATTCTTTACAGGTAATGGAGTTTGTAGATTCACCAGATTATAGTATGTTTACAAGGATAGTCTTTGACACTGCATCTACAGTAAGCAACATAATTGCATCTGTCAAAATTCAACAGATTGTAATGCTCTATGTCTTGATTGTCATCCAAATTCTTGTTTCATGTAGGGTCATACACTTAGGCTTTTGTCTTTGCCAGACTTCATGGTTGCATTTATTTCAAACCTTTGAGTTTAACGTATGATTGTGTGTGTATGTGTGTAACAGGATCAAATGCGTGCGATTGATATGATCCAAAAGGATCCAGAATTGGGTAGTTTAGATGTAACTGAAGCGCCTTTGGTTGATGTGGAGATAAGGGGAATTCCAGCTCTCCAGTTCATGGGGGATATGGTTTGGAAGTGATGCAAAATCAAGTTTTACATTTTTAAAGTTTAGTTTTGTGAAAGGGGGTGTTTGGATGTGCATTTTAAAACAGTTTTGTGTAATTATTGCGACTTGAAGAATGAAGTTGCAATCATGTTTTTAGTGTTCTTTTATCAATATCCTTATACAATGATTCGACCCACTATATGTTTGGGTATTATGAAGTATGAACTTTGTATTAGGATAATGAAATAGTAACAAATGAGGATGATATATTCTTACTATTACTAAATACACAGTACTCATTAAACAGGAAGATGAAATAGCAATTTTCAAACGTTATAAATAATTATAGGAAAGTAAAGATCAACGAAGCTAAATTTGTCATATTTTTCCTTAAATATGACAGTTTGTAACCGAATTTTAATTTGTCCAAGAGATGCTCCCAAATCTAAATCTATCTATTTTCCTTTTTCAATGTGTATTTATTGGTATTTAAGAACATAGATTTCATATATGGTCACCCTATTATTAGCGTGCCGAATTAATTTTGGTTTGAAAATACAACACATATATTGGAAAGAAGCATATATTTGGTTAAACCATATTTTTGGAATATCGTTTTCTACACCAAACTTGATGTAGCATTTGTCCGTTGAATATCTTAGACACTTTAACACGTCAAAGTAGACATGATTATGTATTTGAGTCTCATTGTTCTTATCTTGTCATCTCTATTTATAATAAACCAATTTTGTCATATTTAACTATATACAATACTATGTTTAATTAAGTAAATTGCACGTAAACGAAATGTCTCCAATCAATTTTTGTTCTACACGACATACTCATTTACCCTTAAAATTTTGATTTATATGTTTATATTATTAGTTTAAACAATGAATTCAATTACCTAAAATCAAGTTCAATATATTTTTGTTATTGTGTGACTTGGAATTTGTTAACCCGAATGAATAAGAAAATGAAGAAACCTAAGGTTCTTCAATAGCATGGACCTTATTTTATTGGTATACGTATGTAAATCGATCGAACCATATTAAATATTATGTTGTTTTATATTTTATATTTTTCTATTGTTTTCTTGGCGTAACATAATGAAATTTGATCCCTACTTAAAAAACAATTCTTATTTAATTATAAATGCACATCATGTTCCATTAAATGTTACTTGGATACACTTTCTGAAAACATAAATTTGTTAAAAATTACCTTATGTTTTCTTCCAAATAATTGAATTAAATCTAATAGATTTAGTTGGCCAAATCTCAAAATAAAACATATTTATGAAAACGATTTTGGTTATTAAAAATAAAAGTGAATAACAATTGTCCCAAAAAGCGACTCGGGTGAGTATTCCACTTCCGAACAGCCAAACACTATAGAGATGTTCAAAGTTTGATGATTCCGCTTTTGAAGGGACACTTTTTCGATCTGCAATAAAATATCAATTGGACACCAATCCAAGGTAAATTCCTACCAATGCATCTAATCCATAACCCAATCGCACTTATTTTATGTGGATGAGCTTTTCGATCTCTTCACTGTTTTTCCTTGAATTCTGATTGCTTTTCATTGTCTCAAATTCACTTATTAGGTAAATGCTGCAATGCCTTAAATCACACAAGTATCTGTTAATTCTTTGATGCTTATAGCTTTTCAATCGAATTAATGAGTTCATCCATTCTAAATTGCACTCAAGAGCCTTCCAATCGCACATGCATCTCGATCGTTTATTCGTTATTGTTAATTGAATTAGTTTGTCCATACGTTCCAGGTTGTATTGAATACTTTTTGAACTTTTTTAGGTTTATACACTTTTAACTTTATGAAATAGCACCTATTCAATTACAATGTTGCATCAAATCTGGGGAGAAAAAGGAAAGGGAAAGGGACACGACACCTAATTTAAGTAGTTTTTGTAGTTCATAAGATTCTAACTTCGGCATTGTCACTTCCACGAACAACCATTTGCTGCATAAAACAACTTGTTTGACTAGTAAGAATCAGGTAAGTGAATCCATACTCTTACTGATTTTATTGTTTTATAGTTTCACTTCCCCCTTTACTGCTGTTACGTTTATCACTTCTATGACAAGAAGATAACAACCACCAATCCACCATAGACACATTCTTGCATGTCACGACACTACTATGAGACATGCCACTAGCACAATCTTATCATCTAAAACAGTCATGATTCATGCATGATAACGATAATGAGGGTTCCATGATCCTGACTTAAATATACTCTTGGATAACCCCACTCCTAACCATGATTGGACAATCTTATTGTTTAATTACTACTCTATTCTCAAGAATAAGTATAAGAGGCACACTTTCCTTCAACATATTTCTCTCAATAAAGAGATAGATACAGTTATTTTGTTCAAGTTTAGACACATAATAAGTCTATTATCAATTATCTAATCTTTCCAGGGACCACTAGTCTATATAATATTATGTAGCTTTCCTTGCACAAGGCTATTTTTCTCTCTTCTAAGCCACATATTTTGTCATAATTATCTTATCTTTGCAGTTGGAAAACTATGAATTAAACAATCACAATTGACATTACCAAAATGTTTACATATGGGCAAGATCCCGATGTTGTTCGGTGGGGTCTCCAGCTGTTTGATGGTGGGCCATATTGTGGATATGGTCCACAAAATTATACAGATTGTTATCATGATCAGTATTCTAGAGAAGAAGCCAGTTATCACACGGAATGCATCACCACAGAAAATGACAAACTTGCCCTTCAAGAAAACACATCCCCTTTTTTGGTTGCAGAAGCGTCTACACCTTCTTGTGAAGACATTGATCATTCACAATCATCATTTTATCTTCAAGATTCACTTAACCAGTCTATGGCAAACTACAGCCTTGGTAATAAATCTACAAACTTTCTTTTATTTAAGTTTTTTTCTGATGTTTATATATTTTATCTATAGAAGATGATGATGATGATGATGATGAGAACACAAATGATAGCCCTACAAGGCAGTTTGACTATGGTGAGGAATTGTCTTACTCATTGGAGTTGAGTGATGATGAAGTAGGCAAGAGGTTGAATCAGATGGCTTCTGTTCCTGTAAGTCTCGTATTTCATCATTTATAAATTATTATGTTTTTATGAATTCAATAAATAAATTAAAAACTTGCTGCTGGATTTCTGTAGCATGTTCCCAAAGTCAATGGAGAAATTCCTTCCTTAGATGAAGCAACTTTAGATCATCAAAGGCTACTCGATAGGTATTACACAATATCATAATTTCTTTTGTAGTCAATTAATAACAAAATGCTTGAAAACTTTTTTTTCTTTTACAGACTGCAGTTATATCAATTAGTAGAGTCTAAAGTTCAAGGGGATGGAAATTGTCAGGTGAATATTTTCAATCTATGATATTTTTTCTCAAATATACAAATAAATCCTGAACAAAATTATATATTTCATTTTTTTAGTTTCGAGCATTGTCAGATCAAGTTTATCGTACAACTGAACACCATCAATTTGTGAGACAACAAATTGTAAATCAGGTTAGTCTGAAAATTGTTATATTTTTTTATAATTATTTGAATGAAAACCGTATTTCCTTTTGAATTCTGATATTCTTTTTTTTTTTTTTGAAAAAGCTTAAATTACACGCAGATATATACGAGGGATATGTCCCTATGATGTATGATGATTACTTGAAGAATATGGCCAAGTATTTTTCTGTTCCTTTTATCTGTTACTTTAGCAACATTTTATTCCTGATATATCATCGTACTTTATGTTTTAATTTTTTTTAAGGGTTGGTGAATGGGGTGATCATGTCACGTTACAGGCTGCTGCTGATTTGGTATAAAATATTCATCTTAATTTAATTTTTGTTATTTGTAAAAAAAAAAATGAGATGCAGTCTAATTCATATTGTTCTTATGTTTGCAGTATGGCATCAAAGTTTTCGTAATCACATCATTTAAGGACACGTGTTATATCGAAATTGTTCCGAGTGTTCAAAGGTCAAATCGAGGTACATTATTATATAATATAATAAAATAAATACTCAACATATTTAAATTTGAATTTATGGGATTAATTTATTTATTTCAGTAATTTTCTTGAGCTTTTGGGCTGAGGTTCATTACAATTCAATATATCCTGTGGAAGGTAAAGATTGAAGTTGTTAATTTAAATTTTAAATACAAAATTAGTCTAATTTTGTACGTATTTGATATCCAGATATCCCGAATATGCGACCATGAAAGAACTGATGTCGAAGATGATGATTTGAGTGGTTATTGCAACTCTCTACTCTCTTCCAGCTTATTATATCATTAAACATTCTTGTGAAATAATATACTTTTACTTTTACTCCTTGTTAATTGTTATTGCTTCGTTCCTATTATTAAACAAGAATCTCACAAATCTTTGACTTAAAAAGTCAAAGAGAAGATGATCCGTTGACATTCCAACGAGAACAAAACCAAAAAACTTAAACCAGAAAAAAGTACATAAACTGATGCATATGATACAAGTTCATCGATGGGTGCTAATGGGGTCGGGTCGGTCAAACATTAAGTCAAACCGCAAGGAAGGCCCACTTTTTTCATAACTAAAATAGACAAATCCAGATCACTGTACAACTATGATAGCATCATGTACAGGTTGTTATAACATCATTTCTCTGAATCTGAGAATCCTTGATCTGGAAAAAGAGAATTACCAAAAGAGCATAGATTTTACAATTTTTCCATGGCCCACCGTCGGCCAACCCTCAAATCTTCCTTTTCGTCTTTATCTCATCTTCTTCGACTTGCATCAGCAGCGACGTAAACGACAAGTTTGGGAACAGGTTGAGCTCCGACGTCCGTTGATTTTCCGGCGCCACCGCGGTATCTCTGAAGGAAGTTGGAAAGAGAGAGGGGTCAACATGGTGGAGGAGCCATTCGATGGTTTGGCCGTCGGAGCGGTGGCCGAGTTCCCGGGTGAGTTGGAAGATGCGAGCGGCGCAGAGCGCGGGAACTCTGACTCTGAGACCTCTTCCGTTTACCTTGGTGTGTCGGTTCTTCTTCCTTGCGGCGGCGGAGGTTGTCGGAGTTGGATTTGGTGGACCGAGTTGAAGAGGATTGCTGGTGGATGGTTGAAGATGGTCCATTCTCTACTCTCTAGTCTCTAGGGCTTTTCGTGGTTTGGTTCGAGATGGGTTGTTTTGTTTCTATGCGATTTTTCAACTTTGAGTTTCGTGGGTCTCTTGTATTTTATTCTAAATTTAAATTAAAAATGAAACCAATTTGGTTTGAGACGAGAAGTATGTTTTTTCTCTAACATCTTTGACATTCTTAAAGGTTCTTCGAATACCACTCAATATACAAAAATTAAAATAAAATATTTTCGTTATATGAACTCCATCCATTTCAAAATTAAAATGGCAAGTTTTGTCGGAGTTTTTAACCAAAATGGTGTTTTTGAAAAAAATATTTACCAAACAGGTGTGCTTTTAAAAATATTTACCAAATAGGTATAGTTTTAAATTTTTTTTATTTTTCTTAAAATTTCAGTTTTTTTAATCATTTTGCTGATTTTTTATCATACATTTTTTATTTTATTTTTTACTTTTTGCTATAAAAAAAGGTGTTTCTTTTGTTTATATACATCAAACAAGAGAAAAAATGGTTTGTACACCGGTCAACGGATTAAAAAACAAAAAAATAGAATGTTTTTTTTTCCTAATTTATTATTATTATAGTATCTACATAAGAAATAAAAATCATTTTTTATTGTTTTGTATTATTCGTTCAGTTTTTTTTTTCTTGTTGCATCTAAACTCTAGATATACAAAAAGAAAAGAATTGTGTATTTTCAATATCTTTTTGTTTGGTTCATTCGATTCTTTTTTTCTTTTCAGATAGTGGTTATCGAAATAAGCTATTTCGAAGTTATTTATTTTGTAAGAAGCACACGTTGGTTTCGTAAACATTATACCAACAATTTTTAATCTAAACCAACAAAGATTTTTTATAAAAACTAACAAACATTTTTTTTTTTCAATATGAACCGATAAATATCATTTTAAGTAAAAACCATCTGAATAATTAATATAATAATAAACTGGAACATAAGAAAACAATTCTAAAATTAAACAATTGATTTGGTATATATTATTTTTAAATATATACATGTCGTAACATAAAAATAAGAAAAAAAAAACATTCACTTTTTTTGTGTTCTAATCCTTGGAGCAATGTAGAAACCATTTTTTTTTCTTTTTTTCTTATTAGATGTATATAAACAAAAGAAACACATTTTTTATTGCAAAAAGTAAAAAAGAAAATAAAAAAAAGTATGCTAAAAAACAGCAAAATGATTAAAAAAACTGAAATTGTAAGAAAAATAAAAAAATTTAAAACTACACCTTTTTGGTAAATATTTTTAAAATTACACCTATTTGGTAAATATTTTTTTCAAAAACACCATTTTGGTTAAAAGAAAAAAAAAAGTAAAATGTTTACAGCTAAAAGCATCTCCAATCCACTTTTATTTTATATTTTTTTTCTTATTTCTTCTTCAATTCTCCCCTATTTATTCTCTTATTTTGCGGATATGAATAGTATTGGGTGCTATATTATTCATTTCTTCCAAAATAAGGATGAACTTTACATTGTCCGTTTTAGTTCTTTTGGTTATATATTTATACATTTCTAGTTTACTTTTACCTACTAATTATAATTTAAATATAATATTTTATACTTATAATATTTTGTTATATATTAAATTATATTAATTAATTATAAACATAAAGTTTGTTTTTTGTTAATCAAATTCATATGAAAATTTAAATACATAATGAAATTTTAAAAAACGATAATGTATTTTACAAAAACTTATAATTAAAAGTGTGTATGTCTTATATATATATATATATATATATATATAATATATATATATATATATATATATATATATATATATATATATATATAATATTTATTTAAAAGTATGTATTTGTAATATTTTTTTATAAATGCATGTATAATATTTATTTTTAAGTTTATTAAAATATAATCTTTTGTATTTAATATTAATGTAATAAAAAAATATAGATTATATATTTGTTAAAACTAAATTAGTAGATGATTGTGTTTGACAATCTATATAAGTTGGAATAATGGAATATACTATAAATATACATTTTGAAGGTAAAAATGAGGGAAAAATAGAGTAGGGTTGGAGATGAAATACTATTTACCTCATTTTTTATTCTATTTTTAGGAGAAAAAATGGAGATGGATTAGAAATGGTCTAAAAGCATCCACAACTATCACATCATCATTCATTATTTTATACAATTCTATTAATTTTTATGTGATAATGCATTAAACTTTATAAATTCAATAGAATATATTTAAAAAACATTTATTTATTTAATAGCTAAAAAATGTATTTATTTAGTAGCTAAACATACATTAATAAAAATAAAAATGCATTTATTAAAAAAAATACAATAATTAAAAGACATTAACTAAAATTAAAATACCTAAGAAATACAATACCTACCTATGATTGTTTTTTTATCATATGTTCGTATGTTTTTAAATAAAAAAATCATATGGCATTTTTTCATAATGTGATTAATAATTTGTTTTTGCTTACTTTTACGCATAGACCCATTTTTTTCCTGAACTTTTGGAATTATAAAATCATATTACATACTTTTACGCATAGATCCATTTTTTTCCTGAACTTTTGGAATTATAAAATCATATTACATATATATATATATATATATTCCATACATATAGATTAATAAAAAAAATTACAAAAACTAATTTGTGATATTTATTTAAGGATTAAAAGATTTTCTTTTTTTTCCATTGAAGAGTTAATGACTATTAAACTTCAAATCTATATGTTTTTTTAGACAAAACAACTAATAATTTTTATTTTGAAATATATAGAAACGATGCACATACTTATTATTGCAGTTCTCTAAAAGTTTGTTTGATAGTATGGCCGTTGTCCTAAACATTTCTAGATAGTATAACAACTCCACAAAAGTATTGTACATAATATGGCATCGGCTCAAAAATTGTATATATTTCATGTGAAATTTTGTTTAAAGAATAGAAATCAATATTGAATTTAGTGAATACTCGTTAATTGATAGTGATAACGTATAATTGTTACAACTCTACCTTAGGGAACTGTATGAACGTGGACTACAACTTTTTGTTTACATGGGTTTTGTTGTTCCCGTCATCTATTTCTTTTGCTTTTTAAGTTGTTAGACCAATTTTTGACATGTAAAAAAAAAATCCAAATAAAAAATCATTATATATATATATATATATATATATATATATATATATATATATACACTAGCCGTTTACCCGCGCCAAGCGACGGGTGTGACAATTGTGGTTGAATGCCGAAAGATGAATTAAACTTTAGAAATGGAAACGTCAGCGATATATATCCAAGATTTGAAAACAGAAATTGCAAGATTTGGGGAAATACGAAGATAAGGAATGAACCGGGTCAAAATACCATAAGAATAGGGGATAAGAGATTTGATCTTTTCAACTGTTGACCAAATGTACTCTACTCTTTTTGTAATGCATAAATTGATTGTACAAATGCATTGTATGTTTCTACGACTTAAAATTCAGCATTTGACCAAAAATGCTTTATAAGGTAATTAAGATATTCTATGGAAAATGAATAACTATGGCAACATATACTGGAACCAATAATCAAATGACATGTATTCATCTATTTATTCACAAGTAATGTATTTGTTGAAGTAACTAGCCACAATGGAAAGTTTTCTTTGGCTGATGCTCTCTCCACATAAACCCTAAAGAAATATTGACTTGATCATTGGAGTTTCCTCCTGGGATCACCTCTCGAAGAACGGTTAACGAGCTCATTTTTTATGCTGCAGGGCTCGATGTAGGCGGTAATCCCACCGGATCATCTAGAGGAAGCCAACTAGCATTATTGGCATCATTCGTTGTTGTGACAACCGATAAAAAAAAGCTACATAATACTCATCGGAAATAATAGCGATAGAAAAAACAACATCGGGACCATCTAAACCCTAAAGCCCAATACGCCCCATGGTGTCACTTGCGTTGAACTTTGTCGCTAGTACACCACATACCACAACCGCAAACAATCGCGTTATCATCTCTATTCACACCAGTTACTCAACCTTGGATGCAACCATTCACACCGATGAACACCCAACCATTCCAACTTATAATCCCATCTATCAGCGAAACACAAAGTTCTTTCCCTACACTCATCCAAATGGGAACATACAACCTTTACTAGCTTCCCCTATTCTTTCGAAACAATTCAACCACAAATTAATAAACAAGATCGATGTTAGCTCAGCCAACACGGTTAAGAGGATACACACTGGTGACTCAACCACCAACCTCGATACCAATGGTCGGTAGCATGTTCGTGCAGATGAACATAAACCAACAAACACCGCCACATGCCACAACATATATCCCGACAACGACGATTCACACAATGCACAATAACACTCTTATATATCACACCCCCATATAACACAAGTTTCCCCTTGCATCCCACATATAATTTTTCACAAATATACACCCAGACCCCCTTAACAATAACCAAGACCTCACCCTTCATACCAGAACTCCACAACTATGACATACTAAGTACACAAGGCTACCCAATCTTAAAGATATAATGACACAACCTGTCTATATAGCTACATAGATACCTACGAGAGTCACATGAAATACCTCAAGCTAGATGAGTTGTTTGGGTGCACACACTTCCTATAACGCTTGATAGAAACACAGGGGCATGGTTTAAAAGTCTTGCACCAAACAAATGTAACATCTTAATTTTTCAGGTATTCTCTTTTGACCCTTAGATTATGATTTGTTTGTAAAATTGGTCCCCAATGGCATTTTCGTAATTATTGGTCATGCATGAGTATGTTGGGTGTACGTAGCCATAGTGAAAACCATAATTTTTTAGGCTTTGGACCCAATTAAACATCTTTATGGCCTCATGTACCTTATTAACTCCAGACTCCTTCCTTGTTTCGAAACCCTAAATGGTGTGAGTATCTTGTGAAGCTTGAAGAGCCTTTTGGTGCTATTTTGGAGCTTTTGGAGAAGAAGGAAGAAC